ACCTGTTGCTAACATGCGTCCATTGTGATCCGATTGTTTGGACTACATTGAATCCGGTCGTGAACTCGCTTCAAATGTCTTTAGTTTGGTACTCTGAACCCAATCCGTCCTAGGTGACACTGAACCATCTTTGGGTTCAGAATGTTTAACTTCATTCTTTCACCAGTGAGGATTTTCTTGATCTGCTGAAGGTCCTGTCACTTCTACGCCTGAAAGCCATTAGGTGTTTTCCTGCGGTACTGTCTTGGTTCTGCCGCTGTTTCCTGTCTTATATGACATGTCGGGATGCATTCACACCTGCCACTTTTGGTCCACTTTAAACGGAACGGAATTCGTTTTCTCCCCGTGGTCCAGACCACAACCAGACAGAGACCCACTTTTTGAGGTGGTTTTGATTCGCTTCCAAATGGACTCTGGTGCAGTTCACTTCTGGTGTGAATACCAACCGGCCCCGATCCGACCCAACTGCAGAGAACATTCGTCTCTTTGGACTGAACGAACCAGCGTAGCCGGTAGGAAGCTGTCACTGTACTGAAATCATACCTGATCAGCTGTCTGTTGCTTAGCAATGCTGCTACCAGCATGTTGTGGGTCAGAACACGGTGAGCACGTCGTCTTCTTCAGTGATTTTACAGCTGTAATAATGGCACAAACATGCAGAACCAAATGCAGCAAACAGAGCTTCTAGGATAGTTTTCCTCCATTATCGCGTCTGTAATGGAGGAACAAGCGGGCCAAAGGACTTTCCTGGTGTGAAAGCAGCCTTAAACTCCACCGATGAGCTGCTAGTCTGAAGCTGAAGGAACCACAGTAACCAGATTTGGATCCTAAATATAAATGCAGGCCTAAATTATTCATACCCCTGGCAGACTTAAACAAAGTTGTTTTAATTCCAGGTAGATTGTGTCCAATAGGACATGAGACGAGCGTGTCTCAGGAGACAATAAAACAAGGAAAAATGTAAAAATAATTACTTTAACATTTATTATAAAATGGCTTCTGAAATTATTTCTACCCTTCATCGGTAATGAATGAAAAACTCTTATTTGCATCACAGCCAATCAAACCCTTGTTGTAATTGCTGAGGAGCTTTCTCCACATCAAGGTGTTCTGATGATCCATATTTACTGATTAGCTCCAAGTCTGAGGTTGGAAGTCCTCCTTACCATGACCCTCATGTTTAGCTCCCTCCACACATTCTCTATCAGATTCAGGTCTGGACTCCGGCTAGGCCCTCCAGAACATTAATCTCACTTGCAGTCAGAACCATGTTGGTCATATTAAGGGATGACTTTTAGCCGAAATCTAGAAAGGTTTCATAGATAAACATCACAAAGAGAAAATAATCATTAAAACATAAAATTACAAGTTACATATAATTAGAACAAATAAAAAGAATCTGCCAGGGGTATGAATAATTAGCCTTCAACCGTACAATCAGATCTGCCAGGATGCATGTTAATAACGGGGCCTAAAAGCAAACCTCTGATTCCATCGAAGGTTCCACAGAAACACTGGTCTCTGCAGCTTGTTCCTGACCCGTTCTATGTTCCTGTTTCAGGCCTACCTGCTGATTGAGGAGGACATCCAGGATCTGTCCCGCAGTGATGAGTACCGGTGAGCCTCAACCATCAAGCTCCTTTAGAGGCTTCATCTAGGAGAGAAAGCAGATAAACTCTGAGGCCGTTTTCAAGGATAGATTCTGAAAGAGAGCACATAGAGTTAGTCACAGTAGAAGCTCAGTCAGTAGCCATGTCTAGGAGAGAGAAAGGGTTAAACACTAAAAGACAGGGCCATGTGGTTCNACTCTGAGCCAGTTTTCAAGGTTAGAGTCTGAAAGAGAGCACATAGAGTTAGTCACAGTAGAAGCTCAGTCAGTAGCCATGTCTAGGAGAGAGAAAGGGTTAAACACTAAAAGACAGGGCCATGTGGGTCATCTGTAGAAGGTGAGCATTAAGTTGTTGCCAGCAGAAGCTTGGACGATGCCCCTCTCCAGAAAGGTGTCACAGGTAGACACAATCAGGCCAGGTGTAGCTTCTAGAAAGAGAAAAGAGAGAACATAAAGTTAGAAACTGAAATAACAGCAAATAATGCAAAATTGGAGAGTATTGTGAGAATGTACCAAAGAGGGTGAACGAGGTCATTATGTCCTCCAGCAGCCTAAGCCTATAGCAGCATAACTACACAGATAGTTTCAGTTCAGATTATTTGGTTAAACGACGCTTATTTACAACAATGTCGTCTCAAGGCACTCACAAAGGGTCCCTCTGATGGTCATTATTATACTAAAAACCACAAGGATTGGGATACCTCCCTCTGTCAGACTATTGGAAAAGAGAGGGGGTCATACAGGTAGCATACAGGTACATGGCTCAAACATTACAACCCTTGGTAAAAAAATATGATCCAATTACTGTTGGACTACAATGTCCAAACGTTTTTGCCAGATTGACCAACATCCCTCAGTTGAAAATACCTGTGGACCCTTTGAATTTTCAAATTACCAGCAAAAATAATTTTGCTATTTGGCTTATTTACCTGCTCAGCGATAAACTGAACATGCAATATTTTAAAAAGAACCTGTAATTCAAATCTGAAACCTAAAAAGGGCCTCACACGTTTGCCTTATTGAAAGAGAGTCTTACATTTTCTGCCTTGATGTTTTAGTCTATTCCATCAGCAAGAAAAGGATATGGGTCCCTCAGACTTTGGAAATGTTTGCTGTATTTTACAAAGTTTAATGAAACCCAAGATATATACAAAACACTTAAAACTCTTTTTCTAAGGCACAGTCTAGGGATTCTAACATGGTGAACTATAACCTTATTAAAGATGACTAATATTTGCTCTATAATAAAATATGACTGTTTTTATCTTCTGGTAGATATTATGCGTAACGGTTTGCCATAGTATTTGTATGCAATTAAAATTGGGCTCCTGAGTATAAGCGCTTAGGGGCCATTTTAGTTTTAAACTCAAAGGGCCCAAAAGAGTATTAATCCTGCTTCGGTGATAGGTGTCTTTTTTTTTAACTCTGCCCAAACCATCATACTGCCTCCTCCGATTTGCCTTTTTCGCTTGAGGCATCCTGGTGCCATGTGTCCCACCAGAGAGCCTTCTTTCATTGCTCTGTGGTCCAGTTTTGTTGCTCACCAACCCATTGCTGGTACCTTCACTGCTGGACAAGGGTCAACATGAACACCATGGACTGGACTGCCGCTCTGCAGAACTATGCGCAACGCTGACACACTGGTATTCTGACAACTTCTGCATCTTGGCACCAAACAAAGTTCAAGCCCTAGTTCGCCAGGAAATAGTCTAGATAACAATCCAACAGGACATTTATGTTGGAAATTATAAACAAAAGGTGAATGACAAGTTTTAACCTACAAAGCTTATCTGTGAGCTGCTCTGTGAGAAGCTTGGAACCTGATTAGTGAATACTATTGTTTTAAATAGTGAAGTTCATGCTTCAAATAATTCAAAATGTCAAAACAAAAGCTGGTGAAACACAGAACAAAATGTGATGTTTTAGTTTCATGAATTCACATTTTTCTCCTCAACTTGATCTGCAAACAAAAGACTTACTTTTAATTACAAGAAATGACTGAAACATCCTGCTGGACTAGTGGTTCTATATTTATTTAAAAAGGGCTTTTACTGCAAGAACAACTTCACTCGTTTTTTTATTAAAAGAGATGCAGCCCAACGCCTTAAAATGCAGAGGAAATAAAAATGACCAGATGAATTATAAATCATCATATCTTACGGTCTTATTTATTCACCTTTATATGTGACTCAGATACATGAAGAAACCTTTGTGCACCAGACAGAAAACCCAGAGCGGTGCAGCAGAATCCAGAGATGCTCGTTAGATGGATATCCATCATGTGTATAGATGACAGAATCGATGGTGTGGAAATAGCTTAGCTGGAGCTAGATTGAGTCTCCAGGCTATCCAGGCTGCAGGATGTGGGATGGGGCTGGTATGTGGGCCAATCGCTCAATTTCAATCTCACACTTCTGAGGCCTGATCGTTGAACTTTAATTAACTGGGGCTGTTGTTTATTATGAGGAAGATGCATGGCGGCTCCAATATCTTTCTGCCACACAAAACAGGCAAAAAAACAGAGGACTGCGGCTTCAAATCCAGCTGGTTATTTAATGCATTAACACTCTGCTCAGAAATGACTCTGTGGTTGAGCTCATGCAGCGCAGAGAAGGTCTGGTAATGTTGAGAACACATGTCTGAAGACTGAAGGCAGCTCAGCTCTGCTTCCGGCCTCCAACGTGAACCAGAATTGTGTTAGAAATGTCAATATGAGGAGCGGGCCAATCACTAAAACTAATTGGCTTTGGTTGAAACAAGAGTAAAAATAGATTCAGCCATGAGAAGAGAGAACCAAAGTAACATTTCAGTGGGTTGCAAAAGTATTTACATTCCAACTTAGCCTCAAACTTTAATGCATTTTATTGGGATTTTATGCCATAGACCACAACAATTAGTACATGACTGTGATGTGGAAGGAAAATGGTTTTCAAACCTTCTTCCAAATAAGAATCTAAAAAAAAATGTCTCAATTGACCAGCTTTGCACATCTAGAAACTTTTTTGTCCATCCTTCTCTGCAATATGGCTCAAGCCCATCCAGATAGGATGAAGAGAACATCAACCTTACCACAGATTCTCAATTAGATTTAGCTCTGGGCTTTGATTAGGTCATTCTGACACATCCAATACTCTTTGATCTAATCTATCTTATATATAGCCCTGTCTGTATGTTTAGGGTCATTGTCCTGCTGAAAGGTGAACCACTGAGTCTGAAGTCTCCTGCAGCCTCTAACAGGTTTTCTTCCAGGAATGTCCTGGATTTAGCCCCATCCGTCTTCTCATCATCTCTGACCAACTTCCCTGTCTCCGCTGAACTAACACTCACACATTCATACACCGATTCGCAGATTGGTAGGCAACTTGAGGTTAAGTGCCTTGCCCAGTATATCAACATATGGCTGGAATTGAACCCACAACCTTCTGATTGCAAGACGACTACTCTTCCTACTGAGCCACAGTCGCCTCAGGTGATCAAAAAGTTAAATTTTGGTCTCACCTCACCAGATCACCTCCTTCCACATGTTTGTAGCAAACTGCAAACATGACTCTGTTGGCTTTCATTCAACAACAGCTTTCTTCTTGCCACACATAAAAGCCAGATTAGTGGAGTGTATGACTAATAGTTCCTCCAGAGTTACCATGGGGCTTTTGGTTGCTTCTCTGAATAGTACTCTCTTTATGTGGCCAATCCGTTTAGGTAGACCTCCATGTCTTGGTAGGTTTGCAGTTGGTCCATCCTCTCTCCATGTTCAGAAGGTGGATTGAACAGAGCTCTGTGAGATGTCTAAAGCTTGGGATATTGTTTTAGACCATAACTCTGCTTCTAACTTTCTTCCTGACCTGTCTGCTGTGGTCCTTGGTCTTAATGATGCTGTTTGCTCTAACAAACCTCAGAGGCCAGAAAGAACAGCTGGGTTTATACTGAAATCACTCACACACAGGTGGACTCTGTTTGCCAATTAGATGATTTTGGTTGCACTAGATTTTATTTGGGTGCATAAGAGTAAGAGGGGCTGAATACAAATGCATACGACACTTTTCACATTTCTCTTTGTGGAAATTTGGAAAAAAATCCTTCTACTTTGTGTCGGTCTTTCACCTAAAACGATAATTTAAAAAAAATACACTGATGTTTGTGGTTTCAAGACTTTAGGAAGGAAAGGTGAATGTGGGGATGACCTGGGAAAACAATACAGCGCGTTTGGCCTGAACATCTATCTCTGCTCTGTTATCTTCATTTCTTTGGAATTCATTTTGATGGTATTTCCAAGTCATTTTTTTAACCAGGAGTTTGAGTCTGTGCACCTATTCTCAGTGTTACCTACAGTGTTTTAATCATAAATTGCATTTACGTGTTCTTTGTAGTTGAACTCACACTCAGTGGCCTGTAGTGGTTAAACAAATAGGTCTACTGTTTATTATTTCCATCATGTGTTACTTTATCACTCTGTGCCTCTGGGAAAAGCCAAATGGATCTAATTTATTTCATCTCCCTCCAGCAACACACAGCAGAACGACTGTCAATAAGATTCAAGACAAGGAGACATAATGGAGGAGATTTATCATTCGAAAACTAAGGTTAATGATAATTTATTAGAACAGAATTTAAAATGATTCATCCAGGATTTTATCACAACCCCCACATTTATTTTACCTTGAAAGTCAAAGTAAAATAAAATTATCTTAGGAAAATGGAAACAGCTGCTAATCTTCCCAGGAGTGGACTCCAACTCGACGGGCCTCAGTTAGCAGGTAAATATTATGATCCTTAGAATAAGGATGGCTGGTTTAAAGAGGTTACCAGAAAAAAAACATATTCTCTACCCAAACCCAGCAGCAAACTAGAACAGAATGACTGAAAAAGAAATGGATCCAAACCTTGAACTCACTTATAAGATGTACTTAGTTTTTTTCATAACTGTATTGACAGTCGAGGAAATATTTTCCCATGATTGCAAGTGGGCTAAACTGAGGTTATCCTTGTTTTCCTCCTGAACAGTTTGATTTCCAAGGCTGGACGATGATGAAAGCGCCTCCAGCTCCTTCTTCTCCATCATCGCTGCAGGTCACAGGGCCGGCAGCTCAGGATGTTGGCCCCTGTGTTGAGCGGGCTCCTACTGACCCTGTTTTACAAACGAGCCTCAGCTTTGCAGCACCTCAGTGAGTGGACATATATATCCAAGCCAAAGACAGTTCTGCCCAGCCTGGGTGTTTGACGTGTTTGGCTGGCTCCTACGCTCGTTAGAGACGCAGCCTCCTGTTACAGGTTTAGAAATGCAAAACAAACCATCTCATGTAACACTTGTCTTATCCCTGAGGGACACCTTTCTGAATGAAATAGATGGCAGCTTGGTCCTTTTTGTTCTGAGACCACCCAGAAACATCATGAAGCTAAAAACTTCATTATTTTATTCTGAATTTAACTGATAAATAGTTTATTTCTTTTCGAGAACCTTCACATGTTTGGTCTGTTTCTGATCCTTTGCGTGCAGGTACCCAACTACATCACGCCATTCTTGCAGGAGGCTGTAAATAATATGCAGAACTCTTCTAATGGAAAACCACATGTGAGACAGAGACAGGCAGGGAGAGACGATGTGTGTATCCCCCCGAGGCGGCGGATACCCATGTCTTCCCAGAAACACAGCCACACGTGGATGTTGTTTAATCGTGATGAGATCACACACATGTCCTCTGCTGAGTCCTGCTAATGAATGGCTTTGGCAACTATGACTAACAGCTAAGCGACTGGGAAACACATTGCACAGTTTACCTGTGAGGTGTAGTAAAACATCCAAACCATTAATATGCCAGGCTCTGGGTGAGGTATGCAGGGATATCACTACGTCTGTTTCAGGGGAGATGAAGCCCCCCTAAATAATTCCTAAAACATCCCCCATAATTCTAGAAATAAAACATATGGTTGAAAGCAGATATTTACGTACTGACTGCATAAAAATACATGACCTTCTTCTCATGCCTGAGTTTAAATTAGACTAAACATTTCCTGATTTAGGTTAGTTAAGATCATCTAAAGCACTTTATTTTGGGAAAGCCGACATGATGCAATGACTTGGTCAGCTTCTGACCTTTGAGCTGAATGGAGAAACACCTGTGGGTGTTTTATAAGGCAACACCTCACACACACACTTCCTTCTGTGACATCATGGAAAACCTCAAAGGAATCATTCAAGATATCAGAAAGAAAACTGTGCAGCTCCACAAGTGTGGTCCATCCAGATGACTAAAGGTGCCATGTTCATCTTTTCAAACGATTATATGCAAGTATAAGCAGCATAGTAATGTTCAGCCTTGATACTGCTCAGAAAGGAGATGGGTTCTGTGTCCCAGAGATGAACATGTTCTGGTGTGAAATATGCGAATCAACCCCAGAGCAAAAGCGAAAGAGCTTGTGAAGATGGGCTGAAAGTAGTTATAGAAAGTGTCATTATCCCGAGTGAAACGAGTCCTGTATCAACATCGACTGAAATGCCACTCAGGATGAAGCAATTCCTCCAAAAGCAACAGAAAAGACCAGATTGGTGTTTCCAAATGCACTCGGAACACAGATATTTAAAGACATGTCCTGTGGTCTGATGGAAGTAAAACTGAAATGTTTGGCCATAATGAGCAGCGTAACATTTGGAGGAAAAAGCCCGCGAGCCTAAGAAAACCAACCAGACTGTAAAATATGGGGGTGGCAGCATCATGTTTTGCAATGTGTCGGCATTGGCCTCGCTATCAGCCGATGTTAATTTTTTAAACAAATCGGTCCCATAGGTAAAACAGATGTTTATTTCCATCTTGTTGCCGTTTGTGTTTCTGGAGGGGGAGGGCCGTGTGATATTTGTTTGGTCATGAGACAGTGATAGTGATGCAGTGCAGGATGGTGATGGTGGGGTGTTCAACTGAAGCAGAGAAGCTATGTCAGCGGTGTGGTCGTTTCTTCATGGTGTCGAAAGTGTTGGGAAATATATATAATATATACATAAAATATCAGTAAATATCAGTTATTGGTCATAACCACAATATTTATATTGGATATTGATATTGGCCTGGATTTTCATATCATTGTAACCTATTTTCAAACATTACTGTATTTTTTTGTATCTTTGCTTATGATCAAATAACAGACCCTTTTATATTGTCTAAAAGTAATAATTAATTAATTAATGAAGCCTACTTGGTATAATGATGCAAGTGGGGGTTAAGTTGCGCCTATCTTTTGATTCTAGTGACATCCCTGTGGACAATTATTCAACAGGAAATCTCCTCATGTAGTAACATACCAGGATGATGGCCCACATCAGGTATCGACAGAGAATGTGGATGTTCTTTCCTTTGTAGAAAACAATAATCTTCCCTGCCTGTGGAAAGAAAGAGGCAGGAATCAGCACAGACTCATACAGTAAATGAAAAACAACACATGAGCTCCACCATTCAGTGTGTCCATTTGGCCTTGAGTAACCAAATAGTCCTGGGATGTGGTTGTGGACGCAGCGTCCCTGATGTGGCAGTCACATTTCTCCCATCCCTCGGAGCCAGATGTGGCGTGTAAGTCATTCCCAGCCCGATTAATTTGGTGGTGATGAATACGCTTCAGCTGGGAACATTAGCGCGGACAAACACAGAGGAGGGCAGCGGACACCTGGCGTGTTGTCCAGGCCTCGCTGACTGAGGGGCTCAAAGCTTAACCGCCCACTGGGAATTAAGCAATGTGACTGCTTTTGTATGGCAGCTTCCCAGAGACCAAATGCTCATAAGTGACGCTGCAAGAGACCCGACTCTAAAGACCAAAAGCTTTCTCTTCTCCTAACCTTCTCATGAATTTGTGTCAGTAAAGGAGAACAGCTGTCCTTTCAGACAGGCAGGGAAATGTTCACATTTATTAAAGGTGCAGCGTCCCTGTCATGTTTTTAGCAACATATTAATAAAAGGAAAGACTACATATGTGTATTTCTCAAAGTAAAACAGGAACTGAGTGTATAACTGATGTTCAGTACCGTGACAACAAAAAGTGCTGTTTACCAGTTTATTCAGTAAGAGGGAATAATTAAAAAATTATTTTTTAGTTAGAAATACATACAGCTTCCTCTAGATGTTGGGTACATTTTCACAACCTTAACAAGTCCTACGTTTAACTTGAGTACATTTATTGAGTGGGAGAAAAAATACCTGATTTAAACAAAATCATCTGTAAAACTTCCAATAGGAGGTTTGTGCTTTCAATACGAAGCACTTTGTCTTCTCCAGTCATGTTTCAAGATCTCGAGATTGTCCACAGTCATGGTTCCTCACTTTTGCTCTCCTTTCCTCAGATCAGCACACAGATTTTCTATAGGATTTAGGTCTGAGGGCTCTACTGAAGCATTTGTGTGTTCATCAGGACTTGTGCTCTGGATTAATATCCTGCTAAAAGACCAGATTACTTCTCTTTTTCAGGTTTCCTCCACGGTACC